GAGGTCAAAACTTGGTCAACCTTTCAAATTTAAAGCTTCAAGCTGAGAACCATTTTTCCATATCTATTCCGATTAACCTGAAAACCAAAACCAGCGATTTACATGAGTCATAATACATCATACGGGGCTAGTCATGCCCGAGAACTGGCGAGCGAAGTGCAAGTGCTCAATACGACCGGTTAGGTCGTTACATTTAGTTACTATGTCCATTTTTTTCTTCTTTGCTCGAGGACGAGTAAAAGTTTAAGTATGGGAGAATTTGATAAGTGCATTTTACCAGATGTTTACCACATAATTTCTCTCATAAAACATACAAATTATCATGTTTCCTCCATATTTTTAACTTTATTTTGCAGGAATAATTATTGTGCGCAATATGAAAAAAGAAAAATAAATATCCAAGGAAAATACAACAAAAAAGTGTAAGATCGAGCTATAATTCATTACTGCTGTCACAATGCAGCAAGTCTCGATTTGCCATGATGAAATCGATGAAATCTAAACTTAGAAAGACAGAATTCTTCTCTGCAAATTCAAAATCTAGATTTGCCATGGAAATCTAGCACCAAGTCGAGAATTCAAATTCTCATATCTGCAAATGCAAAATCTAGATTTGCCATGGAAATCTAGCACCAAATCGAGAAGTCATCATGAATTTTTCTTATATAAGAAGATGTTGCCCGATCAGAACAAGGATTGCATTTAGAGAGAAAGCTTAGAGCTAGAATCTGAATCTGAATTCTTAATAAGCTTCTCTGTTTTATTTCTTTCACTAGTATCGAGTTATCTTTTATTTTAAATCACAATAGTGGTTTAGTTGTTGTTTCTAAATAAATTTCAGTGTAGGAAATTACTCTAGTTCCTGCTTTTAATTAAATAGGGAGAATTATTCTTCTTGAATATTTCTATCTATTTTCTTATTTAATGGACAAGAATATTTCCATTGTTAGTACTAATTCTAGTATGGAGTAACTTTTCTTGTGTTGGGAGAAAGACGGATCTTAATATTTCTATATTATAGTAGATATTATTCCTCAAATTCACATGCTTGAGCTAAAACTTTTTATTTAACTTTTATCTGCTTTTACAGTTAGACGTTATTTGATTATTAACATCTATCTATCTTGTACTACATATTAACTGTTTATTAATTCTGTAATCGAGAGAGGCGGAAGAAATAATATAGTTAATTGTAGTATTGATAGATGTTAATATTTATTCAGTAATATCTATCTCTTTTATGCTATAATTAATTGTACACTTATTTGTAATCGAGAGAGGCAAATAGTGTAATAATCAGTTATAACAAGTAGGGTAACCGAAAGGGACTTACTAACAAGAGCATGTTTTAGTTCAATCATATATTTCTGGTTCTTGAGTATTACTATTTTGAAGATTTATTTGTATAACCGAGAGGAGTGGAATTAATTATTCAACCTGAGTAATAGTATATATTTGTAATCGTGAGAGGCATTTAATTATACATTTATGAGAAATAGAAATTGAGGAATAATAATTCTACTATATAAAAGAAATATTAAGTGAAGTCAAGATCCCAACACCTTTTTATTATATTTGTGAAAAATAAAATATTTTCTATTGCTCTATTTATGAATTTTTAGTTAGTTAATTTATAACTCAACTCTTTCTGATTTTCTCAAATAGCAATTAAAACAAGAAACTTCTGTNAAATTGAATAATCCGCCCCCAAACCGATAAGCCGTTAATAAAAAAAATTCAATCCGTTCCCCGTCCGTTAAACCGTTAACCCGATACCAATAAGCCATTAAGCTTCGGTTTCGGTTCGGTTTTGAACACCCCTAGTTGGCGGGGATGAGGAATAGGGTGAGAAAGGTTGAGAAGGAGTTTTGTAAAATGTTTTCCCTTCTCTTGATAGGGAAAACATTTTCCTTGGAGGAAAATGAGTTCATGAGTAAAATATTTTCCAAAACATTTAGGCCAATCAAACATGGAAAAATTGAAAAAAAAATTTCATTCATACCAAACACACCCCTTATGTTCTATCAAATATTTAACAAATTATGATTGTTAAATTTTAATGACACAAATATTTAACTTAAAGTCACTTTTGGAGATGCATTTGTTGCAGTTTTTGTTATTTTTATTTGTTTTTATAGCTAGTTTAGTTTTTTGAGGTGTAGACTGCTTTTGACATATTTTCTATGTCTACTAATATATTTTTGGTGTTGCGATTTCTGTGATTTAACAGGACTTTCCTAGTGATTATGTCTAAAAAAAAATTTCATAGTTCTCGTAAAATTTAACAGAACATAATTATTATATATTTAATCGAAAACAGCCTCTCTATCCCTTCGGGGTAGGGGTAAGGTCTGCGTACACAGTACCCTCCCCAAACCCCACTTGTAGAATTTTACTGGGTTGTTGTTGTTGTTGTTTAATCGAGATCAAACGTACTCACTTTTGGCGAATTTAAAAGACCCAAACTGCACAAGAGTATATTTAAGTGACCTTTTTGAACCTATCCCAAAAATAAGGGACCATTTTTATCTTTTATTATAATATTCATAAAGCTTCTTTGCAATTCAGGAGCGCAATTGTCGTTTTGAAAGACAATTTCTTTTCGTTTATAGTCTTTTGATAAAGTCGTCCCAAATTTATGCAAAAAAGTTTCCTCTTTATTTCCCCAATGCAATTCAATTCCTAAATTCATTATGTTTATTTCACAACAATGATTATTTAACGAAGAAAGAATATTACCTAACCATTAAATTATTCATTTGTTGAAGGGGGATAAGGTTTTGCTAACACTTATACGACAGCAATTTTTTTTTCTTTTTATTTTGGTGAAAGGAATTTGCGCGGTGTTTGAGTGGAGGCTCGCAGGAAAATTAGAAGTCTTGATTAGAGTCATGTGCAAAGGTGAAGTCGAGATTTGAAGTTTATGGGTTCATGATCTAATATGTTTAAGTTACTGGGTTCTAAATTAATAAATTGTATATATTCCATAAATTTTTTAAGACAAATATATGATTTGGACAAAAATTAATTGGCTCGGGCGAACCCATAAGTCGTGTTCTAGCTCCGCCCCTGATCCTGTGTATCGTTTTTTACGGGGAATACTTGACTCCCGCTTGAGTCTCAATGTAAAAAATTTCTATGCAAATACAAATTAGTCGAGTTTTAAAGTAAGAGACCTCCAACGAAAATCAAATTTTGCAACTAGAAGACTCAAAATAAAAAATTTGTTAATGAGTTGCAACTCAAATATTTCTTTTTAATATCTATTTTTCTTCAAGGTAAAAAATGTATTTCTTTTTTTTTTCGTATTACTACGTATTGAATGAGTTAAGATATCCAAATCCAAATATACAAGTGATAGACAAAGTTGGGCAATTTCCCTTAGACGTATACAATTGAAATATTAGAATTTTGTTAAGATAAGACTATTAATATACCTTTGAATAATTGAATGCAATATTGTAGTAATTCATTGACTGACGAATGGAATTCCCACATTTTCCTCCATTTTCTCAGATCTTGACCTTAACATGCAAGAAACAGTCAAGTGTCAAATCATCTTGACCTGGAAAAGAAATCCCCACCAAAAATTGTTGACGTGGTGGTTTTTTTCACTAGAAAATAGAAAAAAAATTCTATCCCGATCAATGTTGTAACATTATTTTAAATTCATTCAATTTGAATTGGTATTTTCTTCATCACAATTATTATGAAGAGACATTTAAAATAATTAGTTTCGGATAATTTATTTGTAAAAATGTATATTATTTATAGCCAAAAATAGATCGCCCTCGAATCGAGTCAAGTACTGAACGATCTGTTAGGTGTTTGTCCAGATTTTCTACCATAATTGATTTTCCTATCTCATGAAGGAAAGGACAACATATTTACCATAATTGGGTTTTTCTTTTCCTAGAAGGAAAATATAATTCTTCCATATTTGGCTAGTCTCTTTTCTTGTAGGAAAATGTTTGGACTTCTATAAATTGAGGATCCTTCCTTCTCATTCAGTAGCATCCACAATGTAGCCATATGGGGTTTGTGCGTCGTGTTTAGGGGAAGAACTTTACGGGACAAGTGTTAGTGTATCACTTGTGTTTGCCTCTTCGTGAGGTTGTTCTCTCAATATTTTGTACTCTTTTTTATTATAGTGGATTGCTTATCTCCGTCGGGGACGTAGGTCAATTGACCGAACCATTAATGTTTGAGTTTCTTTTGGTATATTTCTCTTTGTTGTATGATTTTTTGTCGTTCAAGGTTTGCTTTGATAGTTTCCGCATGACACCTGATTTTTGCGGTCCTAACACGATCAACTAAGCCTTATTATGCATTGAAATTCACGTTGGGAAATACTTTTTAGTAGAATTTTTCATTTTCACGATTCGAATTCGTTTCGAGACCTCCAGTTAAGGGTGAAAGTGTTGACAGTGTACCGACGGAGCAAATGCAAAAGAAGAAGAAGAACAAGAAGAACAAGAAGAAGAAAAAGAATGACCAACTGGTTGATACATCCAATACAAAGGGCATTACATAGTCTAACTCTTGAAGGTTGTTATTACACTTTAGTCCTTATAGTTACACATACACTCTAGAAAGTTCTAGGGATATTTATGTAATTAGCATTCCACTAAGTTGGTTAGACAGAAAGTTAGGCGGTTATATATATATATATATATATATATATATATATATATATATATATATATATATATATATATATATATATATATATTGTACTGTTGTATTGAGACGCAGAAGAAAAAGGATGCAGCAAAATTCCAAAATGCATTTTGTTCATTCCAAATTCTCGAATCCAAACATGGTATCAGAGCACAGGTGCTCGATCTTCTAAATTTTCTATACTGTTCTACAAATTTTTGTGAATTACGTTCATAATTCAATCGATTCAGTTTGATCGATCTTCAATTTTCTTTTCATTTCATACAATTCGTTTTTTTTATCCATTGCAATTGATCTTCTGCTTCGAGTTATTGATAACAATGGCGGAAGAGAATCCTTTTGCTGAGAATCAAATTGTTGTTGAGAGCTCACATCCTCTCTACTTGAGTCCTTCGGATAATCCTGGAACAAATTTGGTGTTCACGTTATTTGACAGAACTGGGTATGCAGATTGGCGCAAATCAATGTTGATTTCTATATCAGCTAAAAACAAATAAGGATTGATAAATGGAAGACTTCTCAAACCTAGAGATGATTTTCCATATTTCGAGCTTTGGACTCGATGTAATGATATGGTGATGGCTTGGTTATTAAACTCCTTGACAAAAGGAATTAGGTCAAGTGTTCTTCATTCCAATTCTGCAAGGGATCTTTGGAAACAACTTGAAGACAGGTATGGACAATCTGATGTAGCTCAATTGTTTGGCCTACGAAAGAAATTATTAGAAATTGTACAAGGATCTAATGATATAGCAACCTATTTCAATAATATAAAAGCAATTTGGGATGAGTTGAATGCATTGGATGCAAAAATTCCATGTACTTGTATTGAATGCATATGTGAAGCAAAACATAAGAATAAGGCAATTGAGGAGGGACGACAATTAGTTCAATTTCTTATGGGACTGAATGAAACATACACTGCTTGTAGAGGAAATATAATGATGATGACTCCTATACCAAATATTGATAAGGCATATTCTTTACTTCTTCAAGAAGAAAGACAAAGATCTATTCAACCTACAATGAATTCTCCTATGGATTCGAGTTCATTTAATGCATCAACACAGAAATTTGGACAGTATTCAGGACAGAGTAAGATGAATTTTAACCTAAATACTGGGGGAGGAAAGAGAAACAATACAGCAAAGGGAAGTGACAGGAGAAATATGTTTTGTTCTTATTGTCAAAGAGCTGGACATACAATCGAAAGGTGCTTCAAAATTCATGGTTATCCAAACAGTTTTAAGACAAATATGCAAGGGAATATGCAGGGGAATAGAACAAGAAAATATTAAAACCCAAATATGATACAAGGAAATGCAGTATCTACAGAAGAAGAATTTGGCAATGTTCAGCAGTATAATCAGGGAATTCAACAACACAATTCATCAAGCATCATGGGAATAAATCAGGAACAATATTCTCAGCTTATGGAAATCCTACAACAAGTCAAAATTGGCCAACAAGCTGCTTCAAGTTCTGAGGTTAATGTGACTGCTAACTGTGCTGGTATAGCTCCTATGCTGCCTTCTTTACTCCCTAATAAATCCTTTATACATTCTTGGATCCTTGCCTCAGGTGCTTCTGAGCACATGACTTTTGACAAATCTATCTTGTTTGACATCATAACCCTGACTCAGCCTTTATTTGTTAACTTGCCAAATTCTTTCAAAATCAGAGTTACACATGCTGGAAAAGTATCTATGTTTCCAGACATGATTCTGGACAGAGTGCTATATGTGCCTTCTTTTAAGATCAACTTACTGTCTGTTCACAAATTCTGCTATCAGTTTGGTTGTGAACTAATCTTTGGTGCCCTTGAAGAGGCCTTTGGACCTTGGTAAACTCAGTAATGGACTCTACATTCTAAGATCAACACACTACCCTTCTGGACATCTTACTTCTACAAATAATGTTTTCCTTTCATCTACTGATAACATGTTGTTGATTCTCCTATTCATTCTATGTTTAATTATGTTGTTTCTTGTCAAGATGTATGGCACATTAGACTAGGACATATGTCAGTTACTAGTATGAAAAATATTGTTAGCCTACCATATTTTCACACCAATAAAGCTACAATCCCCTGTGCAATTTGCCCCTTAGCTAGGCAACATAGGTTGCCTTTTCCCAATAGTCATATTTCTACCACCAAAGTATTTGAGCTTATTCATATTGACACTTGGGGTCCATATAAAATAGCCACTCATGATGGATTCAAATATTTTCTTACAATTGTAGATGATTTTAGCAGGGGCACATGGACCTATCTTTTGAGCACAAAAGGCAGTGCCTTCACCATACTCAAATCCTTTATCTCTATGGTAGAAACACAGTTTAACACAAAGATAAAGAAAGTTAGATCTGACAATGCATTAGAGCTTGGCTCTAGCATTTGTGCAACTGCCTATTTCCTTTCCAAAGGGATTATTCACCAAACAAGCTGTGTAGCAACACCCCAACAAAATGGAATAGTAGAGCGCAAATATAGACATCTATTAGAAGTATGTAGAGCTCTTCTATTCCAATCTCATTTGCCTACCATCTATTGGGGGGAATGCCTACTTACAACCACTTTTCTAATCAACAGATACCCTACAAAACTATTGAATTACAAAACACCTTTTGAAATCATTTTTCACAAACCACCAGACTATTCTTTCCTCAGATGTTTTGGTTGTCTCTGTTATGCTTCCACTCTCTCTCAAAATAGGGGCAAATTGGACCCAAGGGCAGTAGCTTGTGCATTTATTGGATATCCTTTTGGTAAGAAGGGTTACAAACTTTTGAACCTATCCACTAGACACATATTTGTTTCTAGGGATGTGGTCTTTCATGAATCTGTCTATCCTTTTGCCTATCTATCTAATTCTACCACACCTATATTTCCCACAAGTCCTTTGCCACATATCTCACACACTGATCTTCCTAACAACATCCCTGATTCTCCACCTAGTCCTCCTTTACATGTTCCCTCTGAATCTACATCTACTTCCTCACCTATTCTTCCTGATTCTACTCCTACATCACCACATATTTCTACCACATCCAATTCTCCATCTATTCATGTACCTGAACCATCTAACGTCTTGCCTATGGAGACTGCCCTTCGAAGATCTCTTAGGGAACATAAAACACCCTCATACAAAAGGCAAGAAAGCTCTCCCTTGTAAATGGATTTACAAAGTGAAGCTCAAATCTGATGGGTCTGTGGAAAGACAAAAGGCTAGACTGGTTGTTCGTGGTGATACCCAAAGGGAAGGTATAGACTTTACTGAAACTTTCTCTCCCGTGGTTAAAATGACTACTATAAGGTGTATTTTAGCTATTGCTGTCAAGAAGGACTGGGGTTTATATCAATTGGATGTCAATAACGCATTTTTACATGGGGATCTATTTGAAGAAGTCTATATGAAATTTCCTGCCGGACTTTCTCCTCCCTCTCCTAACATGGTCATTCGTCTTAAGAAATCCCTCTATGGTCTACGACAAACATCTCGACAATGGTATGCTCGTCTTACCGCTGCTTTGAATTTAAAGGGTTTTTCTCACTCACTCAACGGTTATTCTCTATTCTACAAGAAGACATGGGGTTCTATTTCTTTGGTTGCTGTTTATGTGGACGATATTCTACTTACTGGGAACAATTTCCAGGAACTACAAGATCTAAAACATTTCTTAGATGCTGAATTCAAGATTAAGGATTTAGGAAACTTATCTTGTTTTTTAGGGCTGGAAGTTCTGCGGGAGCCTCATGGATTGATTCTGAGTCAACGCAAGTTCTTGCTTGAACTCTTGGCTAAGTTTGATTGTCTTGATCTCTCTCCTGTGAGTTCTCCTCTTGACCCTTCTTGCAAATTATTTTCTGGTGTTGAGGAGCCCTTATCTGACCCAACTCTATATCGTCGTTTGCTGGCAAACTCGATTTTTTGACTCACACCCGTCCTGACCTATCCTTCACAGTTCAACATCTTAGTCAATATATGCAGTATCCTCGTCTCCCTCATCTTTCTGCTGCTAAACACTGTCTTCGTTATCTGCTCAATGATCCTGGTCTTGGTTATTTTCTTAATGCTTCTCCTTCTCTTGATCTCCTTGCTTTCTGTGATTCCGATTGGGGCACTTGTCCTGATTCTCGCCGGTCCGTCAGTGGTTTTCTTATCAGTCTAGGAGGTAGTCATGTTTCTTGGAAATCCAAGAAACAACCTTCCGTCTCCCTTTCCTCTGCTGAAGCCGAATACCGGTCTATGCGGCGTGTTGTTGCTGAGATTACTTGGCTTGTTCGCCTCTTGGATGACCTTTCCATTTCTCCTTCTCTGTCTGTTCCTCTTCTTTCTGACAGTCAGGCTGCGATCCATATCGCTAAAACCCTCGTTTTTCACGAGCATACCAAGCACGTTGAACTTGATTGCCATTTTGTCCGGCAACAATTTCAGGCTGGTCTCATTTCTCTCTCTTTTCTTCCCACTCATTCTCAGCTCGCCGATATTTTCACTAAATCTCTTTCTGGCCCTTACCATCGTGTTATTTTGGGCAAGTTGGGGGTGATTTCCTCCCCCTCCAACTTGAGGGGGGGTGTTGACAGTGTACCGGCGGAGCAAATACAGAAGAAGAAGAAGAAGAAGAATGACCAACTGGTCGATACATCCAATACAAAGGGCATTACATAGTCTAACTCTTGAAGGATGTTATTACACTTTAGTCCTTATAGTTACACATACACTCTAGAAAGTTCTAGGGATATTTATGTAATTAGCATTCCACTAAGTTGGTTAGACAGAAAGTTAGGCGGTTAGTCATTGATGTATATATATACATTGTACTGTTGTATTAAGACGCAGAAGAAAAAAAGGAAGCAACAAAATTCCAAAATGCATTTTGTTCATTCCAAATTCTCGAATCCAAACAGGATCTCTTGTATCCCACCACAACTTTAATGTTATTGATGCGGCTCATAATTTATTTAACACCCCATATAAATCAAACATTCATGTACTTATCATTTGGATTACTTCATGAAAAATGTTTTGCAGAAATTCTTTGGAGAAGCAAATTGTGGAAAAAGAAAACTTGTTTAAACTGCATCATTGCAACTCTTTCATTGAAAAAAGAAAAAGAAATTGAAAAGTTATTTGCGAAATAAATAAATAAACAAGCTGTTATTAAGAAATCAGATTAATGTTCTTCTTACTTTAGTGTTTGATTACTATATTACCTTTGTTCTTATATAAATATTATTACCGAAAATGTGGTAATTTCCTTTTTAGATATTAGAAGCAAAAGCCATCAAGGTTTTTGGTGGAACAAATAAGATCCTTTTATTTTTAATAAGATGTCTCGGATTTGATCTTGGCAAAGAAAAAAAATCCTAATAAAAAACACTTATTTTTTTTAAATAAGCGTGATGCGACTTCGAATTAGTTGGGTTCTTAAAGTGAGCATGACACGCCAAGTAAGAAACTGAAGCGTAATTAATCTACACTCATTGAATTAAACAACTCTGTGTATGTATAAATTGAATAACCAAAATAAACAAATGTGTGTATGTATGTATATTGAAATTAAGATATGTTCATATCGTGTTTTAATTTTTTCTTCCTTTTTGTCCAAAAATCCATAGTAAAAGACACACTATAAAAGTGTCGGAGAATTTTCTGTTGTTAACACTTTCTTTCCTTCAGTATTTTTATTATAGCTTTTTTATTATTGTATTTTCAAACATATTTTGAAAAAACTTTTTTTGAGTCGAGGATCTAACAAAAACAGTCTCTCTACCTCACACAAGATAGAAGTAAGGTTTATGTACATTCGGCCCTTTCCGAACACCACTTATGGGATCACATTAGGTATGTTATTGCTGCTTGTTGTGGTCGGATTTCTATAAGCTACTCAATGCCGGCAGCTCAGTTGAAAGTGATAGGTGAAATTAGGGGTGGGCGTTCGGGCAGTTCGGATTATATATAAAATTTCGGTTTGGATTTTCGATTTTCGGATTGAAGAAATGACAATCCAAATTCAATCCAAATAAGCTCGGATTGGATCGGATTTTTTAAATTCGGTTTCGGAGTATTCGGGTTGGATATTTTGGATTTTCGGTTTTGAGCTTATAAGTTGTCATGTTTCTTCTTTTTACAAAAATGAATATCCAAATGAAGTACTCATATTAAATTGCCTGAAAAGTTACTCACTCTCACCGCAATCATCCAAATAAAGTATTCAAGTAATGAAATTACTATCAAGAAAATGCAATAGAGACATTAGTATGGCCGATAAGAAGTAGTAATAGTAAAACCAT